TCTGCCTCACCCCCAGTATCAGGTCAGAGAGCACTGAGCAGGGTCTACTTGTCATAGGCCTCCCAGGTGAGAATGTCAGTGATTATAGGGAGTTGGGCTCCTGAGGGGAGGGCTGGTATTTTTTTTTTCCTTTAAATTTCTCCCAGAAAATGTAGCCTTTCTAAGTATTACTGATGTACTTTACTTTGGACTATTAATCAATGATGTTAGTAGTTTTCAGTCTTAATTTAATTAGTATGAGACCCAGCTGGGTGGATAATATTGAATAATTAGTGTTTTACGTAATGGCTTATGAAGTATCATGTTAAAAAAAACTGATAATCACAAATTATCAGGAGAAAATTCCTTCACAGCAAACTAAATGGGTAATCCTCACTGATCCATGTAGAGGGTAGATCTCCTTTCAGTATTATGGGTAGACTGGAAAGGGGAATAAATCTGGACTCAGGTTGGTGTTTGAATCCCAGCTTCATTACCCACGTGACCCTGGGCAAGTCATTTTTTAAACCTCTTTGAGCCTCAGTTTCCATATCTATAAACTGAGGGTGACTAGATGGCACTCAAGGTTCTTCCAACTCCAGATCCTATGAATTTTGACAGCCCCTTGAAGAAAAAGACAAAGTTATAATAGTCTGGTCTTACCTGGAAAATGTCCTTTGGTCACCTCTCCATGGCTTTTTTGGAACTTAACATGTAACATGTGTATATGTGTTTGTGTATAGGTCAAAGTCCTAGTCAGGGCCCCCGGTGATAAACCTTGGCCTTATAAACCAAGCTATCAAACTGTATTGATGAATCCTCTTGAAGAAGCTGCAATGTGTTTTATTGTAATAGTTTACCTGAAATCCTTCAGTCACAGAGAAAGACTCCCTCTACGAGAAAAGACTGTCATGTGACAAAACTAATTTCATGTCCCAGAGACACCATGTTCTGCAGATCCAGGCATGGATACTTGTGTGCAACAAATTATATTGCCCCATATGCTCTTCCCAGATCAAGACTCATGGAGGCTAGAGCTGGGGGTGGGGGTAGAACATAGAACATAGAAAACAGAGCATCAAAACTTGGAGAGACCTTAGAACACAGGATATCAGAATGGTAAGGGAACCCAGAAAAGAAAACTGAGAATGTCAGAGCAGAAAGGGCACTTAGAATACAAAATGTCAGAGCTGGAAGGAGCTTTAGAATGTAGGGCATAGAGTATCAGAGGTGGTAGGGAATTAAGCACCTAGAATATAGACTGCCGGGATAGGAAAAGGCCTCAGAGACCATCTAGTTCAGCTCCTTCATTTTAAAAATGAGGAAACTGAGACCAGAAAGGGGAAGGAATTTGGCCAAGATATCATAGTTAATAGAGAGCAGTATACATGCCGTTCTCCTCAAGGAGAATGCAGTGTCTTTGGTGGCAGAAACTATTTTTTTCTTTGTATCCCAAAGGCCCACCACCTTATGCAGCTTTTTGTTCCTTGGGGATCTTTTTGAGGAGGTTTAGAAAGCAAAAAACATTCTTAGAAGCTGTAGGCTCATAGGGACTTGCACATAGCATCAAAAGATCATAGATTTAAAATGGAAAGGGCCCTTGGAAATCCAGTCCAAACCTCTTCATTTTACAGATGAGGAAATTGAGACCCAGAAAAGTGAAACGATTGCCCCAGGACCACACAGCTAGTAAATGTCTCAAAGGGGATTCAAACATGGTAGGCACTTTGTAAGCCCTCGTTGACTTGAATTGAACCCGACATCATATCTAGTCTCCTGTCTGCTGGATAGGAGACATGTCACATTCCCTTGTGGCAAAATACCCGATACAATAAGTTTCATTAAACACTGACCCAGGACCTAGGCACTGAGAGAGAAGGAGACAAAAATATGGCATGGTGAGTAGTCCAGTTTGAGTTGAGGGTTTTGCTATCAGGAAGGCAAGCTGCCAATATAAATATAAATCCCAATATAAATTCGAGCCATATCTCCACTATCTTCCACCTCATTCCTTCTCTAATGTTTCATTGTTGTGTGGAGATGATCCTTGTTTCTCCAAGATTATGACAGTAGAGCACATATTCTCACAGGTCCAACTAAGCTGAAAAGGTTTTGAGTTTGGGCCTGGCCATGAACTATCTGTCTGTTGTCCAAGAACCAGCCTGGCTAAGGACTCACAGACTTATTATCAGAAAGCTAGTCAGTAGATGATAGGTTATTTCAGTCATAATATCTTAGAGAGGCTGTCTGCTAAGGCATGGAAGAGTTGGGGACTATTGTGGTGGAGGGAATACTCCTACAAACGAAATCATTGGTGTTTTGAAGTGATGAAGACATGATCTCTATAACAAAGTTATCTGCTACAAAATAATGTTTCTACACAACCAGAAGTTACAAATGCCCATAGGAGTTACTGATAATGATAATGTTTCTCACGTCAAGATCGATAGACCAGGGTTAAGATGACCATTAGTCAGACTCAAAGGTATTGTCAAATTAATATTATACTTAAACTAAGTTCAGAGGCACCTGGAAGGATGATTTCTTTTTTTCTTTTTTAATGTTTTATTGCTATCTTTTTTTTACATTACTGTCATTTCCCAAATGACAATCCTCTATCTTGAGCAGAACCCTCTCTTGTTATAAAGAAACGGATTTAAGCAAAATGAATGAATTCCTTGACCATGGTCTGACAACGTAAGCCCAGTTCTGCACCTACAGATTGCTGCCTTTCTTCTGAGAAGCAAGATAATGCCAATTTCCACTCTTTTGTCATTCTCTTCTAGTCAGGCAGGTGGCATAATGGATTGAATGCTGGGCTTAGAGTCAGGAAGATGAGGTCAAATCTTAGCTCAGGTACTTACTATGCCATATGACCTTTCAAAACCTCAGTCTTCTCATTTGTAAAATGGGGATAATAGCATCTTCCTCATGCAGTGGTTGTGAGGAGCAAATGATATAATGTAGGAGAAGTGTTTTGTAAGCCTTAAAATGCTTCTTAGCTGTTGTTATTGTTGTTGTTGTTACTATTATTATTATTATTACAGAAACCTCACTGTGGGTTGCTCACCATACAGCCTATGCCCTCTGTTAGCTCCTTCCAACTGGAAGTATCCTTTAATCAACCAAAAGGGGTGCCAGAGCTGCAGACATTGCCTGTTATTTCCCTTATTGTTCAGTCACGCAACTCAGTAACGGGTTTTCTTGGCAAAGATATTGGAGTGGTTTGCCATTTCCTTGTCTAGTAAATTAAGGCAAACAGGCTAAGTGACTTGCCCAGGGTCACATAGCTAGGGAGTGTCTAAAGGTAGATTTGAACTCAGGTCCTCATTACTCCAGGCCCAATGCTTTATCCACTAAGCCACCTAGCTGCCTTATTATTTCCCTAGCCCCTCAGTAATCACAGGGCTTTTCTCTAGGAGGATAAGGCAGACTGCAAGATGTATAGTAGCATAACAAAGCAGTGGTTGGCCCTTCACACTAAACACTTTATACAGGCATCAGAAGTGCCCTTTCTCCCAATTCGCAGATTGCAAACTTGTTTAGCCAGCTGTTCCCTTAAATAATATGTTCTGCCTGCATTTCAGCCTTCAGTAAATTAAAATGTGTTTGCATTTTCAAAAGTGTGTTTGAATTTCTCACATCCTTACAATTCAGCCAATGTTTTATGGAGCCAACCTTAGTCATGGGAGCAAATGATTGGCCTAAAGAGTAGAAATATGGCTTCCCCTGGAGCCAGAGAAAAGTCATGCTTAACTGCACACTGATCAAGCTTTTTGGTCCCTGGTTATCTGACCAGAAACAGAGGGTATTAGTAGTTTTCAAACACAGGCATTATCATGGAAATTACTTCAGGTGTAGAGGCAGGGAAAAATGCAGCATAGAAGCCCTGTTGACTCAACTATATCCAGTAAGGAAAGTAAGAAGGAAAAGAGCTGCTGAAGATGGAAGGAAAGGAGGAAGCCAATAGCCATGGTCTTGTTGAGAGGATAAAATAGATTCAAAGGATCATAGATCTAGAGCTGGAAGGCCCTTAGTGGTCATTGAGGTCAAACTCCTCTTTTTATACTTGAGGCAACAGGCCCAGTAGTGAAGTATGTGTGTGTCTATAGTGTTGTTGTTAAATCGTTTCAGCTGTATCCAACTCCTGGTGATGCCATTTGCGATTTTCTTGGAAAAGATACTGGAGTGGTTTGCCATTTCCTTCTCCTGCTCATTTTACAGATGAGGAAACTGAGGCAAACAGGGTTAAGTGACTTGCCCAGGGTCACACAACTGGTAAATATCTGAGGCTAGATTAGAACTTGGGAAGATGAGTCTTCCTGACTCCAAGACCAGTGGTCTATCCACTGTGCTACCTAAATGCCCCCCCAAATCTGAAAAGCAGAGACATATGGGTGTGTATATATTTGGATCCATGCATGCATGCATGCATACATGTATATATGTGCATATGTATACACATATACATGTGTATATAGGCACCATGAAATAGTGATTTAGATACATCATATACACACATATATATGCATATATCTATGCATATATGTAAATTAGAGTTTACATATGCATATATGAGAATTAGAATTTGAAGGATTATATATTAGCTAACCTTCATATACGCTTACTATAACCTTTAAATAGCGCTTACAGACAAGGTACTAAGCCATTTACAATTATTATCTCATTTGATCCTCACAACAATTGTGGGAGGTAGGTCCTATTATTACCCCCATTTTACAGATGAGGAAACTGAGGCAAGCAGAGGTTAAGAGACTTGCCCAGGGTCACGCAGCTAGTGAGCATCTGAGCCCAAATTTGAATTCAGAACTTCCTGACTCCAGGACCAGCGCTCTAACCAATGTGCCACCTAACACTTCTAGGCCTACCTTCTTATTTTATAGAGGGAGAACCTGAGGCCAGGGGAAGGGAAATGATTTGCTCCAGGACACACAGATGTTAAGTGGTAAAGCTGGGGTTCAAATCCTCTGACTCCTATGCTCTTTCCATTCCTGCTCTAGATGTGATGCTTTAGGAACAGAAGATTACAACCCATCTCTGTGGGTGAAAACTTGAGGCCACTAGAATGCCTGCAGCTAATTAATGCCTCTAAGGTGCTTTTAAATCCTGGGATGAAAGGGAAGTCATCCAGCAGCAAATGCCAAAGGTTAGTGATTTAAAGTCTTTCTAAACCTTTCAGACAGTGCTGGAATGAGGACAGCACCAGCTCTTGCTTTTAGCCTGCTGAAGCTGTCTGTCAGTCTGTCTATTGGACAGGTAGCAAGTTGCTGTCCTTTCTCCACTTCATCCCTCCTCTCCACCCCATCCTCTTCCCTTTTCCTCATGCCCTCTGATGAACACCATTTTTCCCTATTGCAGGAGACAGGGACCCTTCCCTTGGTGCAAGGGATTGAGGGTGGGGAGAGGGGGATGTTCACTTACAGCGGCTCACAGCCGGTTAGAAATTCAAATCCATTTGTCTTGGCTTGTAGAAGGAATTAAAAAAAAAAAATCAGCTGCTCCTCCCCTTCATCCAGCTGGATGAGTCTGTTCATATCAGCCTCTGGCAGGCTCTAATGATCTTAATGCAGCTCTGATCTATCCAGGCCAGCAGCAGAGCCTGATGGAGACCGATGATATATTGTAATCTTTACTGCCCTATTACTCCCATCCTCTCAAGTGCTTCTCCAGATCGATGGCAGAATTCCTCCAGTGTAGTAGCTGCATGCGGGCACTGAGGCCTACCCAGATGCTGCTGAGTAGACCTTCCCAGCTCTGCCTCCATTCCCCTAGCTAGCTGGGGTCAACCAAAAAAAAAAAAAAAAAAGGCTGCAGCAAATCTAACTTAGATCTCCTTTCCCACTGAGCTACCGGGCGGGCTTCTGCAACCACCTCCCACCAACATGTCCCTCCAGAATTGTAGAGTGAAGGTTTCTGTGAAGTTTAGGGTGGGGTGCAGTAGACGTGAGCTTAAGCCTTTGCCTACTTTCTCTTGGGCTGGGGAGCTGGGGTGGCAGATCAGTTACACTCCTTTGGCCATATGGGGTAGGAGGGGTGGGGGAATCTTGGAAGACATTAGCTATTCTCAGAAAGGAAAGGCAGATGCCAGGGAGGGAAACACAGACAAAGACACCAGAGAGAGGTTAGAAGGCTAGAGCCCAGCTTCTGAGGCCCTGACTACAAATTTCTAAGAAGTACTCAATTAGGGATGGGATAGGACCAACTGAGGAGCCTTACCAAGCAACTATGGAGCCTCATAAACATCTGGGAGCCTTGCCAAAATTGGGAGAGCCTTATAAACACCCAAGGAAACTTGGAGACTTGTAGAGTTTGGGGGACCTAAGGAAAAGAACTTAGAGATCATTTAGTCTAATCTCTTCACTTTACAGGCCTACATACAGAAGGGACATAACTTGCCCGAAGTTATAGGGAAATGGGATCAACGTCAGAACTTGAACCCAGCTCCGAGAACTCCTTTCATTACATCCTACTCCTCTTACACTAAGACAACTGGAGAATCTTGTTAACTAACCCCTGAGGAAGCTCAGCAACCCCCAGGGAATTGTTGAATCATGATCAATAATAAGCATGGGACACATAGACTTTCAAAAGGATAGTCCTTTATTGCTGGAAAACTAGTCTGGGCAAAACTCTATCCTAGCAATCAGAGCAACCTACAACTCCTGGGAACAAATAAAGAGCCCATTGGAACCCAGGGGAAGGAAAGCACTAACATTGCACCACAGCTCCCCCTGGTGCAGCTAATAGACATGGCGTCCACAACTGGAGAAGAAACCAATCACCAACTTCAGAACCTTGCTAACAGCTGGAGATGCTCGCTAACAATCCCTTTGGTCAGGAAGACCAATGTTTGTTGGAACATTAATGGAAGAGGACCTTGAGTTCACCCATTGTCTCTGAAATATGTCCATGACTGCTAAAGATTAGTTTGCAAGATGATGGGAGATAGTGTCTACAGTGGGATGGTAAGCTCCTCCCTTCAGGCGCTTCTCAATCCATTGAGCGATTGAACCTTGATGCTGAAAGGGAGAGAGAAATCATTGTAGTTCCCTGGATTCTCAATCCCATGCTCAAGATCATATCTGTCCTAATGGATCTTGGGGCCTACAATTTCTTCTCCTTTGGCTCTTTGTACTGTTGCCACACTCATCTTCTTTCTGCATGGATCTGGTCATGGCATTTCCCTCCTTAATAAAAAAAAAAACAAAACTACACATACATATGCATATATATATATTTATATACACATACACATACATATATAAGTGTATATATGTATGTATATGTGTATGTATATATATGTATACACACATATGAATGTATGTATATGTGTGTATAAAATCCCAATTGATTAATATATATTCATTCACTCAAAGTTAAAAGTTCAAACTATTTTACTCAGCATTCAATGCCCTTTACAATCTGATGCCTTCCTACTTTTCTAGCCTTATTTCAAATTACTTCACTTAACCCAGTCATGCTCCTGATAAACTGGACTTTCCTTGATCTCTGAATATAGCCTGTGCTTGCCTATCTTCCTGCCTTTGTTGGCATTATTTCTTATGTAGGCACTGTCCTTCTTGCTCTTTATTGATTAAATCTCTATTCATCCTTTAAAGCTCAATTCGAATGCTCTCTCCTTCATGAAGTCTTCCTTTATCTTTAATTACAAAGACCTTCCCTCTCAGACCTTAGTGATACAATTGATTTGAAGTCTGAGGACCTGGGTTTGAATTCTGTCTCTGACTTTTACCACTGGTGTGACCATGGGAGAGATGTTCAATGTCCCTGGGCATCAGGATCCTTATCTAAAATATGAGGGGATCAGAGTAGATGACCCATGTGGTGCCTTTCAACTCTGTTTTCTCTTTCTTCATCTTTGCCTATAGAACTCTTGGATTTTCGTTTGTTTGTTTTTTTAATGTCTAATACAGGGGACACTTCCTTCAGGTAGAAAGGCTTCCCTGATCCCCCTGGTTGGTAAACCTCCCCCCTCAGACCTGATCAATGTTTTTTTTTTTTTTTATTATTTCTCTACTATGCTTAACAAGTCATTTTTTACTTTATGGTCTGTCACATGCCTCTACCAGAGTGTGAGCTTTGAGAAGGCAGGATCTTTGTTTCATCTAAATGGTACATCAACCCCAGCTCATCCCAGAGTGGTCTGCATATAGTAGACATTTAATACATTTTTTGAATGAATTAATGTCATTGAATCCTATGCACACTGAGGTGTTACTCAAGGTCTCCTCAGTCCTCATCTTGATTCTCCAGGGGGTCTAGTTTATGCTTGAATAATAACCAAAGTCACAAAAGCACTTTTTATTCTATTTCAGAAGCAATAACTGAGTGCTGTACTGGAAGGAGGCTCTTGTGTTCAGAGCTTCCAAGAGAGATGAGGAAGATGTGCTTCCTGCCTTCAGGGAGATTTTAGTCTAAAGTAAAGTGAATTGATAGCAGCTTCTCTTAAGTTGCCTCCATTGTCTAGGAGCTGGGGCTCAGGTGGGAGCCACTGGTGCGTGGCTGCAGACAGGGAGGGTCTGGAGGGAGAAAACAGGAAGAATGATGCTACCCAGAAGCCCTGGAAGACAAAGCAGGCAAGAGGCAATGTGGTACCCGGCACATACATGGCCATGGAGGCCACATCCCAGGAACAACAAAGCTGTGTTTCAGCCGGTCTTTCCTTATTTCATTAAGGAAATGATGAGAATTTAACCTACAAGAGCTCTCTCGCCTTCTCTTTTAGATTCTTCTTCTTTTTCCATTTTGAAGAAAGATTGAAATGAAAATAGAAACAGACAAGGGATTTAATAATGTGACTATCCAATGAAAAAAACAACTAACCTGGAAATGAATTTATGATACTTATAAGAATGCAAAGAAAAACAATTAAAATAAAGAGAAGGAAAATGGACATAGATGGAGCTTCAAGATACAAGAGTAATCCAGTTACTGGGGCTGAGGGGGACCAAAGAGCACATGTCTTTGCCAGGCATTAATTCATTAAATGCCATTGACTTTGCATGCCTTCAGTCAGTGCACCTCTCTGGGCCTTCTGATCTTTAATGCGCAATGGCCATTTCCTACTGGCCCCTGCCCTTGGGTTTTGAAAATAGGGAAGTCCTATGGATGAGCTCTGAGGTCCTGGGGAGATCAGTCACATTTTATTTTATTTTTTGTACTGACCATTGAATTCATTTGTATAAGGAACTCTCATTAAGGAAACTCCTCTTTCAATGTAGATGAGCAACTGCTGTGTGAATATAATCTTAAAGAGGAGCCTATAGCTGTGAGAGGTTAAGTGTCTTGCCTCGCAGTATTTTGTCAGAGATGATCCTTGAACCCAGGTCTTACTGATATCATCTGGCAATTCACTAAGCCACACTGCCTTTCACAATGGACTGAAATAGGAAAGAGACTAAACAACCATATTAGAAACTGCATGTTCCATATACCAGACTGTCCCTACCCTACAACCTTGCCCCAGTCCTGGATTCCCTAAAAGTAGAAAGATACGGAAGGGGCTCAGAGGAGATTTACAAAGATGATCAATCAACCAAAAAAAAACCCACAAACAAACTCAGATCAACCACATGTATAGCAATGTCTCCTTCACCTTCTTCCCCACAACTGATTTTCACTAATGCTTAAAGAATTTGGATAATTCAGTTTGAAAAAAAAAAGATTGAGAGGGAATGTAACTAGGTGTTCCCCTATCTCCTGCTTCTGTCTCCAGCTTTGTGCCAAAGTTATCCAAGACGAGGGTAAGGATAATCCCACTCTTCTCTACCCTGCTCAGACTGTATCTAGAATATTGTTCTTAGGTCTAGGGACCATATTTTAGGGAGGATATTTCTTCCTTTGGTGAATAAGACCTAGTCCAGAAGAAGTGATTGGAATGGTCAAGGACCTAGAGATCAAGCCATGCAAGGAACAGTGGAAGAAAGAGGTAGAGATTAGTCCAGAGAACTGAAGACTTCGGGGTGGGGAATGACAGCTCTCTTTGAGTATTTGGAAGAGGGATTAGAGTTGTTCTGTTTGGTTCCCAAGGGTAGATATAAAAAGTAGGTAGAAGTTGCAGGCAGCAGATTTAGGTTTGATACAAGGAAAAACTTCCTAACATTTGGAGATTTCCAAAAGTGGAATGGGAGGTTAGTGGTTTCCCTCTAAGTGGAAACCTTCAAGCAAAAGCTGGATGAATACTGCTATGGTGTGTGTGTGTGTGTGTGTGTGTGTGTGCGTGTGTGCGTGTGTGTGTTTGTGTATGGGTGTGTGGGCATATGGAGTGGAGGAAGCATCTGTTCAGGTATGACCTGGGTGATATGATGTCTTAAGGGCTCTTCCAATTCTGAGATTCTATAATTCTTTGAAAGGCTCATGGTTGCTGTAACTAAATTGGCTCTTCCCTACCTCATCCTTTCCTGCTCACTTCTATGTTCATTCAGGCCATGGTTAGAAGATACATGCCAACTTCTCTTCCTGTTAAAATCCCTCTATGCAATAAGGCCTATTTTTGGTCTTACCATGGCTATGAAGCCTTTTCCTGTCTCCTCAGATGGAAGTAATATCTCCCTTTTCATCCAGAGAAAGAATTGATAAATAGAAGTATGTATGGAATGATTTTATACTCACACACACACATTTGTGTCTAATGGTAGCCATCTCTGGGGCAGGGGGGAGAAAAAAAAGAAAAAAAGAAATTTACAGGATAAATATATTATACATTTAAGAGGAATAAGCAAGATGCACACAATAGATTTGCAGTTTCATGTATAATCATCTTTTTTATTATTCTATTATGTTATGGAAATGCTCATTTTATTTCATAAATTAAGAATAAAATAAGCAACATTATATATATCTATGTGTATATATATATATATGTATGTGTATATATATATATATATGTATATATATATATGTATATATCCCCCCCCCAGGATCCTTTGGCAGTATCTGGTTCACCTATCATATTGTGGTGTACTCATCTATGTACATGTAATCTATACTATTTGGATCATAACCTCTTCGAAGCATGGGGAAACTTATAGGCTCACAAATTTAAAATTGGAAGGGAAACTAGAAATCATTAAGTCCAATCCCTTCATTTTGTAGATAAGAAAACTGAAGTCTAGAAGTGAAGTGACTTGCCCGAGGTCACTCAGCCAGTAGCTGGAAGAGCTGGGATTAGAACTCAAGTCCTCTAATTACAAACCTCAAGCCCTTTCCACGTACAGTTCTGCCTCTCAAATAAATCATCTGTAAGATGAACTGTTGGAGAGTAGTTAGAAGAACCAAGAAAGGAATATACACAATGATTATAATGATAATAATGGAAATGGGAAAAAACCAAAGGCAATAAACACCAGAACTGAACATTGCTAATAATGATCCAAGTTGTCCCTGAAGAAGAAAGAGGGAAATGAACCTTCCTCCATTCTTTGCAGAGGTTGGGGCAGGGGGTTGGGACTATGAGGGTGGAATACTCATATAGTGGTTGTACTTTGTTCATATGTTGGCTAGTTTTTCTGAATTACATTTTTCCCCTCTTTTTTATTATTTGTTATTAAGACAGCTCTCTGGGAGGGATGGGGAGGAGGAGATATTAGGAAACAGAGCTGATGTGAAAACAAGATATCAAAAAATTATTTTTAAAAATTACAACCCCTTTGAGAGCAGGAATTGTGTTCCATTTCATCAGTATGTTCCCACCACCTGGCAAGAGGCCTTACTCATGGTAGGCACTTAGGAGTTAATCGAATTGAATAGAGCAAATCATTAAGCCCTTGGCCCTTCCTAGTTTCCTCAGTATTGAAGGAGGAGGTTATCTTTGTGCTCTAAAGTTTATACTACTCCTAAATCCTACATTTCTATGACCCCATGACTATCTGCCTTATGCTCAAATACTGATAATTAGTGTTAATGTATAAACTGAAAATGATCTGTAATATGTCAAATTAAGATTATCTATGGGAAAGAGTTTCTTAGAAGCTATTAGAAAAGGAAACAGGTGACTGAGGGATCTTATAGACTGTCCTTTATCTCTGTGAGAGATGGATGATGGAGGAGAAGACAAAGTGGTCATACTTGTGGGGGAGAGGGAGGGGAAGAGAAGAGAATGCTGTAAGTCAGAAGAAGATGGAGAGGTCAAAGGAATGCCTCAGACACAGTGTCTTAATTTCAACCAGGCATTTGGCAAAGCCAAATGTTAT